TTCAGAGGTCATACTGCCTCCGTCATCAGGGCTATTCAGGGATATTCATCGCCCTGATGACGGAGGCAGTATGACCTCTGAAACGTTGGTTAACATCGACCAGACTACACAGCGCAATAACCCAGAAGACAGAAATCTTCATATTCACCGCTGTGAGAACCTCAAGTCTTACATAATTCATGATCATAAAGTAATCGAAACGAAAATTTAAAACTTTTTTGGCCGAGAGAAAAACAGACATAACGATTAAGCAAAGCTGAAGACATTCAAACTGAGCGGTTTCAGTTAACATACGCTGATCAGCTCAGTTCTAAAACAATCTTTTAGTAAATGTCTTCTTTTCTTATATCCTCGTGGCATTTCCAAAGACTCGATACGAAAGTTCGTGCAGTGCACAATTAGAATAATAACATAAGATTTATAGAGTTCGTTCGATGCTACGGTTTGCGATTTCAACCTACTTGAAACAAGACGGAGTTATGGCACCAAGTATTAGGCCCTTCTATATGTAAATATGAAACTCACCATACAGTGTCAAATTACATCCAAACTTGTACATTTCTTAAATTGCCCTTGAATATCAGTCTCCAGTGGCGGTATTTTGTATACACGGGAATTACCATAAGAAGCTGACAATCTCTTGTTTAGCTAAGCTACTGTTCTGGCGTGTTTCGGAAAAAGTCCTCGTCCGTCTGTTTATTCGTGACAACGTCCAAACTACAGGTCCAATTCTCGTGTAACACGATATGGTAGATGTACGCTAAAGTATACTAAGGTTCTAAATGAAGTTTACATAATAGCCTATAGGCCTATATAATGAATCTTTTTGGGAGATTTTGATAAAATTTTAAATAAGAGGTATCATACGTAAGTTTCATTCTCTTTACTACATCTTTAGACTCACTTTACCTAAGATCTAAATTATAATTTCGGCTCATCTAGCGAAATATTTTATATGTATTGTTGCATATGGGTATTACCCATAAAATACTATCATTTCGTATCCTACAATACTGCATAAGGAATAATGATTTCAAGAAAATCACTTCTCTCGAAAACACAGATCTAAATTATTTGATTAGGCGTATCTCAATCAGTGCACAACAGCGAGGTAGGCCTTCCTCGTTCAGTGTTATATCACGGGAAATAAGAGATTCTTCAAGAAACGAACTACGAGATCCGTCTTTCTGCAAAATACTTCTCCCAGAGTCAAATATGATGTGCATATTAAAGGGAATTCGAAACACTGATGACTGTTTTATTCCATTCTTGCGCAAATATGTAGATATTAATATGTGAGCATTTTGTGGTGTGCGTCATTTAGGCAGAAACTTTAAGCGTAGTGGTCTCAGGAGAAAGATAAGGAATTTTCGCGTGGAAAGGACACAGAGAAATGTCACGTGGACTTTGAATGGCGGAATTACATATATACATAAGACACTGACTCTTATGGTTTCGCTTGTTATATGAAGCATGAGAGTCGACATTTGCAGTAAGTGGGAGGTATATGATAATTTGTGATTTATCTTAGGACGCTACAGGAACGTGTATCCTGCACCATTTAAAAAAAGAGAACGATTAGATTTCCGTAATTTCATCATCATAAAACCTCAGCTTCTCTGTTAACAGAAGCAGTGCAACAGCTGATACTCCAAATGCCAAGGAAACAGCTAGGAAAAGTACGGTACAAGTCTGTTGTCGTGAATGAAAGTTTCAACGTGGAGAGCGTAGGGAGGAAATTATTGACGGGTTACAATTGAAGCAGAACATAATTCTCGTACAGACAAATGATTCCCGATGCCAGGGCACGCGAAAAGTCTGTTACGGAGCGGCTGCAGTATTTTTGAATGACTTAGCTTATTTATTTCTAAGTATAACTTTAAAGCTAAGCTAATCGAACATCTTTGTGACTTACCACGTCTAACGTCTTCTGGAGATTATGCTTCTTTCTTGAAGAACTGCAATCAAAATAAAATTAAAATTGTATTACTAATTACATGAAATTTTAAACCAATTATTTGTACTTTATCATAAAATTAAGAATACACATTACAACTAATTAACTAACTACGTGTCACTGTTGGCAGTTATTGCCTCCTCTGAATGCACTCCTTTCGCAACCCCCCCCCCCCCCCCC